CGGTCCCAGCGCTCCCGGACTCTTGGGCTCAGGACTAGAAGCCGCCCGGGACGGCGGGAGGGAGCCGTAACTGCTGAGTCTCGTGGCGCCCGCGGTGCTGCTGCGGCTTGCGCTCGGGCTGGCCGGGAAGCGAGACCGACCCTTGGGCCCAGCCGGAGGACTAAGCGCTCCCGTAGCGGTGCGGGCCTGGCTTTGGCGTGCGACGCCTGCACGGGCTCGCTTCCAGAGAACGGTGGGGTGCGCGCGGGAGTCTAATCCTGAAGGCTCCCGGATCTTGCCTGCCCTCTGGCTTTTCAGCGAGGGCACCTGCGGGCGAAGAAGGGCCGCGAGATGGAGCGCGCTGAGAGGCTTCCTTAGATGAACGCTGCCCACCGGCTGGAGCTGCTAGCCTCGCAGAATACCGCAGATGTAGATGGGCTGGCCCTCCCTGGCTGTTTCGCTGAGCCGCTCCTTGCTTTTTTCCCCCGCTAAAGTGGGCAAAGGAAGCCGCCAGGACAGGCCGGTGCTCTGAATGATCTCATGCTTCTGACGATCTGGACCATCAGTACGCACGGATCGTCCAGTTTTAGGAATGGGAACCTGGGATGCCCGGGATTTTCAAATGCTTAGACTCTGGGACATGCATATAATGATTTCAGGATGCCTCTGGCACTTGGGAGCCACTCAGACGGGTGGAAGACAAAATGTCTATGCGAATAGACCGACAAAGCAGAGCAGAACTGGCTGGGGGATTGGAGAATAGGGTTCTATGGAAGGGAAAACAGCGTCCTGGTTTTCGTTATCTACCGCGACAGGTGACGAAGGACGGACGTCTCAGCTTGGCACAGTAGAAAATCAGGTAGCTTTGTATGCCTGGCTTCACAGGGGTCGTCTAATTTCAGCATAAAGTTTTGTCTGGAGCAAAACATGGTTCTCACGGTTTAGTCTGATGCAACAATCTAGGCATCATGGCTTATTCAACAACCCAAGATGGGGCAGAAAATTGGCTGTCTAACACTACCTCTTGCTGCCCATTCCTCCATAAATCTGGCTCCGGGCTGGGAAGCTAAACAGCTCTGCCAAAGCAAAAGGAAGGAAGGGTCTTGGGAGGAATCTGAGGCTTAATTTCCCTTGGAAAGAAGGACCCTGCAAGTGACCGGCTTCTTCTCCCGACCTGGCCGCGCCAAAGAGACCGTCAGCCACCCTGCAGGAAAGGGAGTTGCTGAATGGTCCGGACGATCTGGATTTATTTCCATTCCCATGACAACCCACTGCAGTGTTTTTCTTGGTGAGCTTCAAATGCCTTGCAAGGGAGGGACCGTGCGTGGGTGCTCCGGGGGACAAACACTCAACTCACTAGTGCGCTGAACCGTGGAGGAAGAAGTGACCAACGCTGGAAAGATCGGAGGACTGGAGTTCACGTGGCCTCCTGGCGAGGGGACTGGGAGAGGGGAGCCAGGAGACACCTGCTGGAACGACGCACGGGAGGGGGTGTGTGGAAGAGGGGAGAGACCTTCGACCGTCGCCGGCAGTTGGATTGGCAGCGCTCCTCGCTTTGGAGAAATGGGAGGGTTCCCTTGGGAACCCTCGGGAAGGCGGCATCAGCCGTGGGGCTGGCTTAGAAAGCGGCAAGGGAAGAGGTAGCTGGAGAGGTGAGAAATGTGGACGAGGGACGGGCTTCCTCTTTCACACCCACGGTGTCGAAATAAATCAAATGCGGGGCGATTCAGGAGCGATGAGAGGAAGCGCATCTTTACGCTGCTCTTATTTAAACTGAGGGCCACCGACTGAGATGCTTTTGAAAGGGGAGAAACTGAGGAGTCCTTGTGGTTCTCTAAGCTTGGTTGTTTTCTTGCAGACACGGCTAGCTAACATCTTCAGTGCAGTGCAGGGGAGAAACGGGCTAAGGGCTAAACCAGCAGAGGCTACTAGCTCTTAGATAGCACATCTTAAACAGAGGCTGGTGGGAAGCAAATGAGGAGAAATGTGGCTTCCTCTCTGTTCTAGGCAGCTTCCTGAATGAGTTTGGTTAGCCATGGTGTGACACACACTGTTGGTCTGATGTGTCTTTGGCTTGACCCAGCAGGACTTCTTAAACATATTAGTGTTTATGACTAGAGTAATGTTTGTTATTTTTCAGTCCTCTGCTCCATCCAGCTGAACTGTTCCTAGTTGGTCTACTCCATAAAGTACCTCCATTCCAAATATAACCCTGGTTGAAAATGCACTAGTATTCAGTGCACTAGTCTTCTTTTGGGAACTAATTCACATCTCATGTTAGTCATGGTTTGCTTAATTGTGCAATAATTAATTGAATAAGCCACAATCGGATGGGTTCCCCTGACACACTAAACCAAAACCAAATTTTGCCTTAGTGCAATACATAAATGGAGCTATAGGGGTTTACCTCTGAAGAAATACCCTTAGGATTGGGTGGAATATAATTCACTTTTAAAGTCTACCAATATTTCATAGTGCTTGAACAGTAAAAATATTTTTTTTATAAATGAAACTTTCTTTGATAGTGTTGTTTAAAGACATTCAATTTATTTGCTTATTGGATAACACCTATATTGGTCAGAATGGGCTCTGAATGCACCAGTGCTCATTTCCAATTAGTACTGCATATGAAAAATAAATAAATAAATAAATAAATAAATAAAATTTTAAATTTTAAAAAAGACATTGGGAATGCTAGCAGCATTTTAAATGTCCCTTATGAGAAATGACCAAATCTAAAAATCGATCCTTCTAACTGATTTTTTCCCCTAACAGAAGTAGGTCATGGCAATTTACTCTATTCGCAGAACTTACATATTGAGCACAGATCACACACAAAAATGGCACATCTTTGTCATTGGTGAAAGTTGCTAAAATCCATAGTAAAATATAGAGTCAAGTGAATTTAACTCTTAAGTACAAAAAAGCCCAACTGAAGAATATAAGATTGGTTTCAAACTGAGACCTCAGATATTAGCTATAGCTGTTGGGTGGGAAACAATATCTCTAGTTTTTTGAGTTAGGTAAGAGTTACTGCAGATGGGGGCCCTGCCTAATCAACCATGCAAATTTCAGCATTGAGTGAAATGGGAAAATTAGGCTTTTGATCTTTCCTTCCAAAATCATTAGCAAGGTATAGTAGCTGTCACTGTGGCAAACTCATAAAGAATGAATGTGCCTGAGAGCCTTGATTACACTGTGCCTTTTTCATACCAGTATTGCTAAGGTTTGTTTGTTATTCAGAGTTGTCATCGAAAGTTATGCTTAGGCAGTAATCCCATAGAGAGAAGTCTCAGCAAGTACACTGTTACTTACTTTTGAGTAAATGTTTTACTGTTGGACCATGCTCTGTATTTTGCCGGCCTACTTCTAAGATATTTTCTGAGTACAACAAATATCTATAGCACATCCAAGCTTCCAAAAAAAATGCATTTATCAGAAAGAAAGGCAGGCTGTGATAATTAAAGTCAAAATATAACATTGTGAGCTTATCTGTGTTAGTGCCTTAAATGTTCAGGCAGGGCAGCCACTGACCTGTAAGGCACCTTTGTGGAAAAGGTTTTTTGCCACCACTTCCCTTAATTTTATTTGCTATTTTTTTAATTGAGAAACAGGACAGTGGTTAAGACTAGATGGGAAGTTTGGAATAAGTATGACTATTTTTTATTACATACAATTTGAATAACATCACACAGTAATACAAATAATAATATATTTTACAAAATAGTATCAACAATACAAGTAGCCTTCACTTACTGACTGCAATTGGGACTGGCAACTGGCGCGGTCATAAAGTGAAACATCACATGACCATGCCTGTGATGTTTCACTTTATGACCACACCAGTTGGTCGGTTCCAGCTGCGGTCATTAAGCGCAAACTCACGTGACCATGATTTGCAACTTCCTGCCAGCTTCCCCATTGATTTTGCTTGTCGGAAGCTGGCTGTGAAGGTTGCAAATTATGATCACATGATCGTGGGATGCTGCGGCCATTGTAAATGTGTGCTAGTTGCCAAGTGCCTGAAATGCGATCACATGACTGTGGGGACGCTATGATGGTAGCAACTTCAAGGACTGGTCGTAAGTCTCCCTTTTTCAGCACCTCTGTAACTTTGAACAGTCACTAAACAAGTGGTCAGTAAGCAAAGATTACCTGTAAGTGTATTTTATTCAAATAATAAGCAAATAGTAACCAACTCACCTCACAGGGTTGTTGTTGTGGGGAAAATAGGAGGAATGTTTGCTGCCTTGAGTTATTTATAAAAATAATAAAGGCAGGATAAAAAAAATCTTTAAAAATAGTAAATGTACAATATATATCTAGATAATTACAAATTTTAGAGAATTGTATTTGGTAAGTAACCCATTAAGCACTTCCCAGAACTGCAACAATATGCACACCGGTGATGCTAGCGGTGCTGATAGTTTTAGATTGTGTGATACTTAGGGTTTCTCTGAATTAATATACAGCGCTCATTTCGGAAGAAGTGAAATCTGATGTAGGCAAGCACGTGCAGTTGTGTTTGGAATGGAGAATTCATTTTTAAAACTTAATTTGGTGGCCCCATGTCATGGCGCCCTTGTGTAGTGAACAGCTTGCACAGCTGCTCGCGATGGCCCCGTGTTCGGGGAATTCTTGAATACTTTGTCTTCACTTTCCTTTCTTGTATTCAGACTGCCCAGAGATGTTTGAGCAGACTCCAGTGGGTGGCCTAACGCTGAGAACAATCAGAGGAATCAAGTTATTATTGAGCGTGGATATG